GAATTTAATGGAAAGACAGCCATATGTACATTTACGACATAGAGAACATACAAATATATGTAATTATGTGCACATAATGTTGCTACTTTCAAGTTTAAATCTCATTTGCGTGGCGTGGTTATTCTCCGTCAAAACGTTTTTAGTCCAGGATAAAATGTTTTGGAAATTCCTTAAAAAAATCCTCAAAAACCTAAATTCCTTAAAAAAATCCTTAAAACTCTTCAAAATTTCTATTTTTAAGGATAATTCCTTAAAAGTGAGAGCACTGCTGACTAAACACAGTTCATACTTTATAGTTAATTTCTTAATTCAAATATTGCACTATAAACCTTTCCAATGACCACACTTAACAATGAGCGCAAGAAGAAATGTTCTTCTTGCTTCAAAACTATTCAAAAAACACAAAAATCAATTGAATGTCTCACATGTATGAATCGGTTTCATGCTGTGTCTGCATGCACAAAATCATTCAACTCCTACATAGGTAACAATACGATTGACTTGTGCCAAAATTGCTTAGCTGAATCTTTACCCTTCCAAACACTCGATGATTTAGAATTTGAATTTACGGTTTTAAAAGGAATTAATGTGAGGAAAGATGAAATGGATAGACTAAGGCATTTGAAATTCAACCCTTTCGACACGAATAATAATATTGCGTTATCGGAAAACAATGCAAATCTCGATAAATCGTCAAAAATAAACTGTGAATATTATCTACCAACTGATTTTAAAGAACAAATAAATGAAACAAACCAAAATAATAACTTTTCAATGATACACTTAAATATTAGAAGCATGATTAACAAATTTGACTCTTTTAAAGAATTAATATATTCATTAAATAAACCGTTTCAAATAATAGGTTTAACTGAAACGTGGCTAAATGAAACTAACGAAGATCGCTTTAAATTCCAAAATTATGATTTTGTAAATGTAAACAGGTCAACTAAAAGTGGAGGAGTAGGTATTTATATCGCAAATGAACTAAACTATAAAATACGCACTGATCTAAACACAAGTATTGAGAATGTAATTGAATCTGTCTTTGTCGAAATTATAACAACTGTAGGTAAAACATCATAATAGGTGTAATATATAGGCCACCAAATAATCATTTTGACTCATTCGAAACTGAAATGAATCAAATATTAGGACAAATAGACAAAGAAAACAAATTATGCTATCTAATGGGGGATTTTAATATTGATCTATTGAAATCAGAATCTTGTGATTATACCATCAGATTTCTTGAACAACTATTCACCTCATCATATGTCCCACTCTGCCTCCTCCGCAGGCTCCTCTATATAGATCAAATTTAAATATCGGTAATATATAGATCAGCGCGTGCACTGCAAGCCCGATAAAGACGCACGCCTTTAGGCGCACCGCGCACGCCCGCAACTAAGGACGAGCGCGCAAAGGAAATCAGGCCAACAAGAATCACTCAGCATACCGCTACATTAATTGACAATATTTTCACCAATGATATAGAAATTATAGAATCAATCTCAAATGGTTTAATTTTTAGCGATATCTCGGATCATTTGCCGATATTTCATATACGAAACTCGAAAACGTATCATGAAAAAATTCAAAAAAATGAATTTACCTGTAAAAGGATTATCAATGATGCCAATATTCAATCGTTTACAAACACAATCAAAGATGTATCATGGGATAATGTACTTTCTAAAAACAACACGGCAGAGTCCTACAATGAATTCTTTAACTTACTTTCAATAGCCTATGAAAAAAAACTTTCCATTAAGAAGAAAAGTAGTAAAAAGAAATATTGACAAAACCCGAAGCCCATGGATGACAAAATGTATTGCAAAATCAGTTAAGCAAAAGAACAATTTATATAAAAAATACCTTCAATGCCCTACAGAAAAAAAGGAAAAAATATACAAACAATATAAAAATAAACTAAATCATATAATAAGAGCGGCAAAAAAGAAACATTACGAAGAACAGTTAATAAAATATAAACATGATACAAAGGTACTATGGAAAACATTAAATGAAATTATGAATCGAAATAAAACAAGTAGTATGTTACCAATGGAATTTATTGGAAGTAATCCTGGAGAAAAAATTACCGATCCAAAATCAATAGCAAATAGATTCAATGATTATTTTGTAAATATTGGCCCAGGACTTGCGAAAAAACTTTCGAATAGCACAACAAATTTTGATAAATATCTCACTAATAGCTGTAAAGGAAGCTTCTTTATTAATCCAATAACTAAAGATGAATTAGAAAATGAGATAAATAATTTGAATTCCAAAAAAAGCCCTGGATATGATGGTATAAGCTCACAGGTAATCAAAGCGATTGCTCCAGAAATTTCTGAACCACTTTCACACATATTTAACTTGACTTTTCTTTCTGGAACTATTCCTGATGATCTAAAAATAGCTCTAGTTACCCCTATTTTCAAAGCAAACGAAAACAATGAATTTACGAATTATCGGCCTATATCTGTTCTCACTTGTTTTTCTAAATTATTGGAAAAGCTTATGTATAAGAGGTTAATTAGCCACAAAGAAAAAAATAAAATATTAACACAAAATCAGTATGGTTTTAGGGAAAATAGATCTACTGAACTTGCAATCATTGAACTTGTTGACAAAATCACCCAAGCAATCGATAAAGGAGAATACACAATAGGTATCTTCCTCGACTTGTCAAAAGCCTTTGACACAATTAATCACAAGATTCTGATTCAAAAACTAGAACACTATGGTATACGCGGAATAACAAGACAGTGGTTTGAAGATTACTTAAAAAACAGAAAACAGATTGTTAAATATAACCAAGTTAAATCAAAAGCAATGATAATTAAAAGTGGTGTCCCACAGGGGTCAATTCTTGGACCAATTTTATTTCTTCTCTATATCAATGATATTGAAAATTGTAGCAAATTAATTTCATTTATATTATTTGCAGATGACACTAATATATTCTATAGTAACAAGTGTCTAAAAACACTTAATAAGATTATGCAAATTGAAATTGATAAAGTTGCTGAATGGTTAAATGCGAATAAGTTATCTCTAAATACTACAAAAACAAAAGTAATATTATTCCGATCTTCAAATAAAAAACCAAATTTCGTACTATTAAAATTAACATTAATGGTAATAATATTGAACATTTAGTTAAAAATACAGTATTCTTTGGTATTGTCATTGACGAATGTTTGACCTGGAAAGATCATATAGCTAAGGTAACAAAAAAATTAATTAGAGCTGCTGGTATAATAGCTAAAATACGACATTTCGTGAACCGAAATACTGTAAAACTGATATACTATGCAGCATTAGTCTATCCATACTTGATTTACGGCAACCTAACATTGGGTAATACTTACAAAAACAGAATTAAAAAAATAATGAATATACAAAAAAAGATAGTGCGTTTAATGGCATTCAAATCTTACTTTGATCACAGTGAGCCAATTTTCAAAGATTTAAATATCCTCAACATCTTCAAAATCAACGACTATTTAACTGCTTTATTTATGTTTCGATACCACCATCTTAATAATTTACCAGAATTTTTTAAAGATTATTTTGTGACAAACAACCAAATTCATCAATATAACACGAGAAATGCATCAAAACTTCACAAATGTTATAAAAGAACAAATTATGTAGAACACACTCTCTCAAATAAAGGAGTTGACGTATGGAATTCATTAGAAACAAAATTTATAGATATAAATTTCTACAGCACTTTCAAAAAGCAAATTAAACAATATTTTTTACTATACAATGTATAAGATATGCTATAACACATTCTGCTATATGACAAATTTAATAGTATATTGTAGTCTAATTCTTATAAGAACCCAAATGCATCTACAATATTGGTATTCACTTCTATAATAAGAACAATTTCTCTTCTCTTTCTCTCTTGTAAATATATATATATTCCTTTAATATTGTGATTGACTGTAAATAATTTATTACATAATATAATACAAACTAGCATAACTAGAAACCTAAATAAAAAGTCTACTAAGATTTCTAGTAGGTCTCTAGCCCGCACTCTACAATTATTGTCAATATACTACACATAAATTTATTGTACATGGGGAAAATTTTTAAAGTAAATATATATATATATATCAGCATATATATATATATATATATATATATATATATATATATATATATGCTGATTGCTGATAATACCAATATAACTGCTTATCATACAAATATTAATAGATTCCAATCTTAAAATAGAGATCTATAGATAACTTGTAAAGATGAACAAACTAAATAACGCCTGTATTCTAAAAGCTCACTCACACTCAAAGAGTGGAGGTTCTGTTTTTGAATAGCTGGAGGGTTAGTGTCGTACCTTACTATGTGACTACGTAACCTCCAGCTATTCAAAAACAGCATTGACAGTCAAGAGAAGCTTCCATCGCTAGAAATCGCGGAAATACAGCATGCATTCTCGCCCCAGTCCCCATGTGCACTCTTATTTTCAAATTTTATCAGGAATGTAGATGGTTATCCACTTTTAACATAAAATATCTTTTAAGAATCATACTAAATTAAAATTGTGCATTGTGGAAACAAAATTCCGTGAAGTAATCAAGGAAATAAGAAAGAAAACTAAAACCAATAATAGAATATAATGATTATTTACGATATTTAATTTAAAACTGGGCAACAACGCAATTAAATGTGCGCCAGGATTTCTAACTAATTTACAATCTCGTTCCCCGAGCCTGCGATCCTCGGGAAGGAACGCGAGGCTCTGGGATAATCCGTTTCAGGGAGGAATCTGATTGGCCGTTGAAATGGCATGCGTAGTTCAATCTTAGCCACAATTCCTGGCTTCCGGCAACGGATTATCCCAGAGCCTTCGTTTCTTTCCCGAGGATCGCAGGCTCGGGGAACGAGATTGACTAATTTATCAAAACGACAATAATCCACATTTTACATAGTCAAATTACGGCTTAATGATCGATGAACTTAGGTTCGTTTATTAGACACGATCATCAGGTTCTAATGTCGCGGTTTGGCGATGATTTTTTAGGCAAAAATGACCCAAAATATATCATTCGAAAGCTCTTTTTTTCTGTTTTTTGTTTGTTTACATTTTGTAATCGTTTTAGCATGATTACATTTTGTAATAATCATTTTTGTATTCCTTTTGATAATGCTTTTAGTTATCTTTAGAATAATAAATTTAGGGGATCGAAAGGGGTAATAAGGGACATAGACGTAAGGGATGTTTCGGGATTCAAATGTCCGAGATTTCTAGCGATGAATTGAACCTCCACTCACTAAGTGTTACTGTGCATGAGTGAGCTTTTGGAATACAGGGGTAAGTCTAAATGTCTTGAAGAGCGAGTATATATGTTAATTGGCTTCAAAGTTCGAATACTGAGCAATTTTATCGGAGCTAGGACACAGCTTAAATCGTGTAGATTCAGCAAAATCTCTCGGGCCTATGATTGATAAAAATTTATCGTGGGAGAATACGTACTTATATAGCCAAAAAAATTATTAAATAATAAATTACTTTATTAAAGTAATTTAACTCAAAAACGACATCGGTGACCCCCAGTTTTTATTTCATAAAATGGTTTCCCTTAGTATATTGAATTACGTTGACAATTTAAAAAAAGTTTGGAAATTACATAAAGGTGATTATTCATAATAATTTTTTTGCCTCAACAGAATTTTTTTAAATATCAAAATAATTCATTATACTAGAGATATAATTTTTTTGAAATATCATTTGATGGTCACAGATGTCGTTTACAGTTAAATTTAATTTACTTTAAAATCAAAATATCCGCCATTTTGAAACGTCATTGTTGCCATAGCAATAGCAGTTGCGTAACTTTTGTGCACAATCAGTTCAAACTCTTTAGATGTTGTTTTATATCAGTAAGGTACTCTTTCTTTCTCGACAAGTAATGATTGTCCAAAAACACGGATCTAAGTCGTGAACTTTCCATTTTCTTTAAATTTGTATTGAGCCACCTTAAGAGGTATTCGTGATCTGGTGCCATTTAACACGCTGGTTGACACACGCTGGTCTATCATTCTGCCTCATGTCGATTATTGCACTTCTGTTTGGGATAGTTGTAATACAGGTTTGCGGGGTACAAGCTAAAAAAATTACAACATTGGGCAGCAACTGTGAGCAACTGTGAAATATGTTCTTCGCAGATTTTAAACGACCTAATTAAATTGGCCGATGTTGGAAGATAAGCGAATGGAACAAAAATCTTGCTTGATGTATAAAATATTCTCCCAGTAAGACCCATCTTATCATTCGAGACCGTTTAATCGAGCTAAACACTTCATAGTCATAATACACGAGGTCATGACTACAATTTTACCAAACGCAATTTTTTTGTAAAACCACATCTAGTATAATGGATCAGTGGTAGGCAATTCAACACTAAAATTTTTCAAAAATAAAATGGAAATGGTAAATATAAATTTAAATAATTTAAAATACAAACGGCGCCTGGGAACAGCATCTTCAACTGAAGACAACAACAACAACAACAACAACAACAACAACAACAACAACAACAACAACAACAACAACAACAACAACAACAACAACAACAACAACAACAACAACATCAACAACAACAACAACATCAACAACAACAACAACAACAACAACAACAACAACAACAACAACAACAACAACAACAACAACAACAACAACAACAACAACAACAACAACAACAACAACAACAACAACAACAACAACAACAACAACAACAACAACAACAACAA